AATTTAGGACCATTTTAAGAGCCGGACAGGGCTGATTGGCTGCTGATGCCAAGAAATGGGTGGGTGATGTCAGGTTGATGTTACTGATCACTCTGGTTAAGACTGCAACTGGGGTGCCTGGGTGGCCGAGTCGGTTAAGCGACCAACTTGTGATTTCCAGTCGGATCATGATCCCAGAGCCAAGGGGTTGTGGAGCCTGCTTAAAGTTCTCTCCCTGTCCCTCTGCCCCTCCCCCATGTGTGCACACAGTACACTCTCTTAAAAGAAAAAAAAAAAGTGCAATTTACGTGGATTGTAAGTCTCGGGAGAATGGAGAGCACCCCTCCCTTCTACCCCTCTCCCCCATAATATCATCCATGAAGATCTTCTGACGTGGCCCACCTGCTCTTGTGCCTACTGGGAGCACTGCAGCTTCAGGCTAGAGCAGTGACGGCCCACAGGAATTCGCTCCTGGCACTAAAAAGATTTTCCGATTGGAAAAGTCCCAAGTCCCAGCCTCCAGGCTAGCTCCCCTTCCAGCACACTCACAAACAGCTGTTCTTGTCTGTTTTAATGAAATGATCTCACAGAATATTGCATGTAAAACATACAGCTCTGTATCTGGCACATAGAAAGTATTTGTTTATTCGTGTCATCTGTGGGCAGATAATACTGGCAAGACTGCCTTTCTTCTAAGCCACCTACCACTGCTACCAACCTAAGGCCACACTGGTAGAAATTTCACGGAGCGGTCTGTTAACTGCTAGGCAGGACTGATGAGTTCTTTCCTTTGTCGTATCACAGAGCAGGTCAGAGTCCTTAGCGCAGGCTCCCATGAGTCACTGCAAGGGCTGTGTGTGCTTTTTACATTCATACTTTTATGTTGCACACACATTTTACGTTTATACTCTAACCCACTAGTCCTTGAAAAAGAAACCAGAACAATCTCCAAACTGGCTCTTAGGATCATGGAAGACTGACACCGGGGAGTAAAGACCCTTGCTTTCTCAGCCCACATGGATACGAACTAGACCTGGGAGATATGTACTGACCCTGAGCAATAGTCACAGTCCTTGTAGCAAAGGTAGCACAGAAGACCAGCAGAAGGGCTCCTGGATGGTGGATTGTAACACATTTAAGCACTGTGACAAAGCCTGGCAGAGGCAGATGAAGAGCAGCAAGGCCAGAGGTGCCTGGGTGGTTCAGTCTCTTGATTCCAGCTTAGGTCGTGATTCTAGAGTTGTGGGATCGAGCTCCACATCAGGCACTGTTCTGAGCATGGAGCCTGCTGAAGAGTCTCTCCCTTTGCCCTGCTCATGCGCACACGCTCTCTTGTGTGCTCACTCTTAAAAAAAAAAGAAGAAAACAGCAGGCCAGATATCACTGAGGACAAAGCTTTTAAGGACAGAGACAGGAAACAGTTAAACTCTAAACTTTTTTTTTCCCAGAAAAACATGTCAGAAATCACTAAGAATTTTTCTTGCAGTAAGGAAATTTATGGGTCGCAATGTCATAATCTGAACTTCCAGGTTTTGTACTCCCAGCCCTTTTAAGAAGAGTTTACTATAGGAACCATTACACTGTCAACTGATGGAATTTTGGAAAGTGCAAAATTCCCTCTGCTTTAACACTTCTAATTTTTGTAAATGTTTCACAAGCATTTGAAACAGCTAAGTCTTGTAAAAACTTACTAATGTGTGCTACAGGAAACAAAGTAGCAAATTTGTTACCACTAGGAGACTTAACTTTTTTGGGTGTCAGGAGTTCAAAAATGGAAAGATGAATGAAAGCAAAAGTGCATTCATTACAAATAATATTAGTGCATTTATCCTTTTAGCATTCAATCTAGCTTGCAAACGCTTCTAGGTTAAAAATTGACTTCCATTCTTGAAAGGGAGACTGATAATTCTGTCTGATGTGTATTTTTTACCCAGAGGAGCTATGTGCTTGCTGCCTAATGTATGCAGTTAGGAGGCAGTGGGAATGGTCTAGGTAAACTCAACAATGACAAAATGGTTGATTAAAAAAATCCCTCAGACCACCAAAAAATTCAGGCAAATCTTGCAGTTAATATCCTCAATTTATCAATGAAATGTCCCAGAAGCTATAGTCAGAAATCAAAACTGGTAACACACCAGCATCCAAACCTGCCCCAGGTCAGATTTCCGCAGGCAAAAAAGGGAAGGGGAAGAAAATGGTAAATTTCTCAAATGCTCGGGTATGTTTTTGGACACAATGTGGGGTCGTGTTTGCCTCTCCATCGCCGCTTGCCCTCCAGGCAGGAAAGCCTGCTAGAACCTGCGTGTGAGTCCCTACGTCGAAGGTGAGCTGCGCTGGAGGGGACTCCCTCTCTCCTAGGAGGGGTCCAGCTCGAGTTTAGGAAGACTGCCCCTGCAGTTTCTCGGAGGAGCTCTAATCCGGAAAACAGGACTTCCGGAAGCAAAGATTTAAGTCCCTTCCTAGGCTTGGGCAAAGCTCGGCGTGACGCGCCTCGGAGAAGGGACGCGGAGCCCCTGGAGCTTCCCGCCGGAGTGGTCCCGCCGAGGACGGCTCCCGCGCGGGCCCAGGGAGTGTCAAGTTCTGTCGGGGCGGGCGCTAGGCGGCCGCGTCCCGACAGACCTTTCCTCACCCTGCGCCCAAGCTCTGCGGCCGCCCGCGCTCCCGGCCCTGGGGACCCGTGCCCACGCCCCGGAGGCAGCGGGCGCGCGCCGCTCCAGCTCGCCCGCGGCGGCCCCGCGGCGGCTCCAGGCCGCGCCTCCCCTCGGCCCCACCCCCTTCGCCCCGGCCGCTCTGGCCCGCCCGCCGACACTCGGTGGCGGCTCCTGGCTGGGCGCCTCTCAAGGGTCCGCTCTCCTCCCGCAGCTCGCCTCGGTCCCCGCAGTCCTGACCGCCGGGCGGCTGCGCGGGGCCCGCGTCTCCCCCGCAGGCCGGCTCCCCGTCGCGGCCGCTCCCCTCGGTCTCGGCTCCCAGGGCTGCGCCGGGTCAAGTGGCCTCAGGGTTTGCATCGGCCTCCTCCCCAGCGGGCGCCCGCGGCGCTACCGCACTCCCCGGAGCCTCCCGGGTCCTTCAGGTGTGCGTGCGCCTACCCCGGACCCAGGGCGGGGCGGCTCCCGCGTGGTGCAGCAGCGGGGCGACCGCAGACCTGGGTGCTGTGGCCGCGGGGAAAGGGGGAGGTTCAGGCGCCGGGAAGGACGGACCTGCCGGCTGCCGTGAAGTGAGGGGTCTTTGCTTAAATGCGTTGGGAACCCCCGCGAAGGGCCTTAAGCAGTGTAGACGCCTCACTTGTGTCAGTTCGCACGCCCTGGCTACTGGGTGGAAACGGATGGGGACGGGGCAAGAAACGAGGGCTGAGAGACTAGAGACGGGTGCATTTGTCCAGGAACGGGGTGATGGCAGCCTGGACCGGGACACGAACAGCGGAGAGGGAGAAGTGGAGACAAAAGGTAAGCCATTTAGGACGTAGAACCGACTTCTTGTGTGCCCAGAAGTAAGTCTAAAATCATAGGATGACCCCGAAGGGCACTGAAAATCTGCTCCGGACTTGTCTTTCCTGATCTTCTCTGCCAGCTGCTCCTACAGCAATCGTCCAGGGACCTTGCAGCTTCCAGGGAGATTCACTCTCACATCGAAGAGCCTGAGCTCATGCTACCCTTTGCCGGGACTGCCCTTCCACTACCCTCACTAAACTTTACGTATTTGTTTTTTTTTAATTTATTTTTAATTTTGTTAACGTTTTATTTATTTCTGAGAGAGACAGAGACAGCGTGAGCAGGGGAGGGTCAGAGAGAGAGGGAGACACAGAATCTGAAACAGGCCCTAGGCTCTGAGCACAGAGCCTGACGCGGGGCTCGAACCCACGAACGGAGAGATCATGACCTGAGCCCAAGTCGGACGCTTAACCGACTGAGCCACCCAGGCGCCCCCATATTTATTTATTTTTAAATGTTTATTCATTTTTGAGACAGCGCGAGTGGGGAAGGAGCAGAGAGAGAGTGAGGGAGACACCGAATCTGAAACAGGCTCCAGGCTCTGAGCTGTCAGCACAGAGCCCAACGTGGGGGTGAGTGGGGGCAGAACTCTGTAGTCATGGATTGTGGCCTGAGCTGGAATCCGAGGCTTAACCCAGAGTCACCCAGGCGCCCCTGCCCTCTATAAACTCATCTATAAACTCAGTCCAGCTCATCAGTGACACTTCTGACTCTCAGATGCTTCCCCTGCTACCTAAGCACTCACAAAGCCCTCCCCATACTCGGCTTAGCTCTTAAACATCCAAAGGTGGTGTGTTCCTATTTTCTTTCTAATTCAGGTCTAAATGCCCAATACCAGGCTTGGTACATAGGATGGAAAGGCAATGTGAAGTTTCCAGAATCAGTGACTGCTTTTTAAGGGGGTGTGAGTGCCGGTCACTTATTCTGGAAATTTATCACCCATGGGGAAGGGGTGTTTGATGCAATGACTTATATTTAAAGGAACTGGAAAGCTGTATAGTAAGCTCACCAGACCTTCTCATGAACTTCCTCCAGTCTGTTCTACCCCAGGCTTAAAACAAATAATAAGGTATTATTAATGCATACGCTTAAAGTATGATCAGACAAAAAGATACAAAATTGTATTTACAATGTAATGTGCCTATTTTTTTAAATATATAAAATATACCAAAGGGTTAAACTATCATTGGTTGATAGAATTTGGGTGCTTTTCATCTTTTTAATATATATCTTCTATAATCAGTTAGTTCCACAGTAAGAGAGAGGAAAATACTAAATAGGTGGTACAGATTTAAGAAAGCAGAGCATGTCACACCATTAAACTAAAAACCAAATCTATTTTTATCTTTTTTCCTTTTTCATCTTTTTAAAAATAACTAGAAATAGCCTATAGCTTCTTTGTTATATGTGCTGAATGAGACAGAATGTCATGTTTTCCCACATTCATTCCACATTAGATAATATGAGACCAATAAACTCCTTATTATTTCAGATCCTTGTTTAAAATAGAAGCAAAAATGGACTAACGAATACTTTTATACTTGAAAGAAACAAATTTATTTTTAAAGTATGTTTTAGAAACTATATATATAATGGGCATTGCTATGTCAAAATGAGGTCAGTTAATAGAAACAATGACGATTCACAATTCTACCTCATATATATATAACTACAGAACTCTCTTTAAACACAAAATCTAATTACTAGAGGTTGAAGGCATATTGAAGGAATCCTTGCTAATACAAGGTCTAGGTTTCAAAAAGCTACCAATTCTAGAATGGATTCTACTCTGGAACTGCTTCTTTATTATTTCTTGTTGCATCTCTTTCAGTGGGAAATGGAACCTTTGAAACTCAGGTGTGACATCAACAAAGTCAAGTAGGAAGTCCAGACTCTCTCTTACAGCAGATAACTTCAATTCAGCAGTCTGATCTTCAGCTCCTCCTCCTTTCTGAATAATTTCCTTTGTAATTCCCCTTTTTGGTTTTGGGGGGTTGCCCTTCTTTTCATCATCCCCATTTAACCATACCCTATCATCAGCCAGTGTGGTTTCCAACTCGCCACATTTCTCAACGATTTCTCTATAATCTCCATCTTCTAAGCCTTGAAGATCATATTCAGGTTCCTTTTTGTAAAGAAGATTTTCCCATGCATTCACTATGGTTATTTGTTTTACTTCATCCCAACTCCTTGCCCAGTTAAAAATTGCACTTTTTATGTTGTAGATTTTAATCTTGGAAACTCCTTTTTCTCCTTTATCTTGCTCATCATCACTTTCTTCAAAAATTACAAGACTCTCTTCAAGTTGCTTCCACCTATAAAGTCGTTTGCAGCTCAAGATCACACCTTGATTCATTGGCTGAATTAAGGTTGAAGTGTTATGGGGAAAGAACATACACTTTATTCGGCCATCCTCACTGGTCAGTGATTCAGTGGAAAGGTGAACTGGAGAGCTGTCTAGAAGTAACAAAGCCCTGACATCCTCTTCATGGACTCTTAAAACATTAAGTTGAAAATGCCTGACCTCAGGAACAAAGTTTTGAAAGAACCAGTCTGAGAACAATTCTCTGGTGAACCAAACATCTTTACTCGGTTTATATATCACAGGTAATGTACTTGTGTCCTCTTTCACACTTTTGGGCAGCTTTGATTTTCCAATAATGATTGACTTTAACTTATGAGTTCCATCTGCATTTGCACATAAAAGAGCAGACAACCGTTCTTTGTTTATTTTCCTTCCAGGCAAGCAGATCTCTTTTCTGCTTGCGTGAATGTTTTCCGGCATTGCCTTCCAAAAGAGGTCAGTCTCATCCTCACTGTACAGCTGAGCTAAACTCAGTTTCTCCTCTTTGATAAGCATGTAGAGTTTTTGTCGAAATGGCTCAACATTTTCGGAAGCTGCACTTAGGACTTGTTCCCCACATATTTTTCGATTCCCAATTGCATGCCTATTTCGAAATCTAAAAAGCCAACCAGTGCTAGCTTTAAAGTCTGTGCGCCCAAAACACTGTGCAAACCTCTCTGCGGCAGCCTGAAGCTCCACACCTCTAACAGGGACGCCAGCTGAGCGTTTCTGTTGGTACCACATGTAGACTGCGTCATCCACATCACCATATTTGGCTCCTGTGGTCCTCTTTCTCTTCTCAGCCCCTGCTAACGGCATGTCCTGCTTCAGTACAAAGTCCAAAATCAATTTCTTATTCTTTTTAATGTCATAAAATGTTGATTTGCTGATCCCAAATTCATCCATTACACTTTTCAGAGATCGTCCGGCTTCAATCCTACTGAGAACCTTCATTTTCTCCTCCAAATTCAATGTTGTATATTTCCCTCTTTTATTCATACTGAATTTGATTTCAAACAGCCCAACAGGAGGAAAAAAGGGAAAAACCTTACAACTGGAAAAAATGAAAAGCAAAACAAAACACTAGCTCAAAACCCCCAAAGGCACAGGCATTTGTACAGAGGGGTAATGGGCTGAAAGGGATAAAGGCTCATGATTGAGGTGCTAGTCTAGAGATGAAGGTCTTATGAACACCACTGTCAAAGCCCTATCTAGCTGCTGCTCCTGCAACATGTTCTCAGAATGACCATGATCAGTTCTCAGAGCCCCACCCTCCTCCTTTCTTCATAGATACAGCAGCACCATCAGGAGTAACAGGAGTACCTGAATACTCTCCCTAACTCAACACAGGAAGAGACAGCAGAAAGAGAGGCCAGATGTGGCCACAAGAACAGACCCTGGTGAGAGAAGTCTACGTAAAAGGTGGTGCTTGAGAATGGCGTGTGCAAACCTCAGAGGCAAAGACAGAGTAATCTTGTGTAGCAGAGATGCAGTGTGGCTTCCCCCCTTCCAAAACGACCTGACTTTACCTCACTGCCAGAAAAGAAAACGGTGTTCATGTTGCTCTGTGAGTAGTGTTCTCTGGACAGCAGTCCATCCACCTGGATAGACTCCAAGCTATCCTGACCCTGGGATGTTGGAGAACTGGTATTCCTGAACAGCTGCAGAGTATCTTCAGGCGAACGTGAAAGTTACTAGGTCCCGTCGTCCATGTGAAGAAATCCAATATTTATTACATTCAACACAGCATTCTCAGAGACTGAGTTTTAACTTCTTCTGTTTACCAAGGTAATCTGTAAGTATGTAAAAACCAGTTGGTGGCACTTTTCCACTCTCAGAGCATCTTCCTTGTGTACCTCTGGTATACTCACAAGTTTGGTTCTTCAATGAAGCTTTTCCATTTTCAGAATTCTTAAGTTTCAGAATCCTGGCGTTTCTTAGAGATCAATCCGAAAATGTTGAAAATATCATAGTTAAAAATTTTTAAAAAGATTTGACTTTTCATGTTTTTCTAGATATATATTAGGGTGTTTAGTAACAGATTTTTTTTTTTTTTACATTTGAGACTTCGTTTGATTTCTCTTTACTGTAGATTTTGCTTAATTTGAACTAATACTCACTTTCCCCCCTGCTTGAAGAAATTTAAAATGTTTCTCTACTGGTGTTTCTGATCAACTGTTTCCTGTAATTCCTTATGCTGCCAAATTCTTCAGCAGCTCTGTGACCTCAGATATTCCTTGCAGGTCCTTCTGAGGATGCCCAGTGCCATTTCATGTCCTTATAAATGTCCTACTCTAGGTTAATTTCATTGTTTTCATTCCAGATATACACACTGACGGGAAGTAACAAAAACTGCCACTTTTATCCATTTCATGTGCTATGAAGAAAGAAAAGCACGTCAGAGAAATGGGAAAAATGATTTGTGTTTCAGTTAATTTTCCTCTCCTATATGGCACAGCCTAACTGGCTTTCATTCATTCCTCAATTACAAACAAGTATCACAAGCTTTTCATCTAGAAACCCAGGAGAGTCCAGGCCACTATTTTTCTTCTAACATTTGTTGCTAGAAATGACAACTGGTTTGTGCAGCACTAAGAGGATCATGAGAGAATATGACTGTTAATGGTGTGGAGGCCAGTGCAGACTAAGATCAAGCAACTTTCTAAAAGGCAGCTATAACTATGGGAATTATTCATGGATAGCTATTATACATGGAAAGAGAAAAAAAAAGAGAGAATTGTTAGCCAACAGCAGTATTATTACCTCCAGCCAGTCACCCAGCAAAACCATTCAGCCCACTACGGCAGTTGCTTGGTATCTCAGAATAGAGTTTATGTATTTGCTGTCATCGCTGCCCATTCATCATTTTTCAAGTGGTGCACTAACAGGGGAATGTGATTTCAGAAAAAAACTCTCAGGGGACTTTAGTCAGCTCCACAGCAAGAGTAGGCACTTCCACCTCAGACTCCAAACTACGAAAATCATTACTGGTCCTCATTCACTATTCACCAGTTTGTGCCTTGTTTCCATTTTGTGCTTCACAGGGTCTCTTTCCCTACTTTTCTCCCCGGCTTCCCCAACCAACTCCATACCATGCAACGGCATGAATCATGCCCACTAGCACTATGCAACGGCACCACCAGAAGAACTTCATTTATTCACTTTAATAAGTTCCAATTATATGGTCAGCCTTGGGCCTGATGGGGAGGATCTCAATACTAAGAGCAGTGTAGTCCACTGGGCCAGGAAGGTTAGGAAGAATAATGCTTTTGAGGAAACCTAAGTCCTAACCAGACTCATTTTCCAAGGACGTGAATCTGCTCTGAAACATATTCCAATGACTTAGGCAGATGCTTTCTCTTACCTCCCGTGTTTCATCCTTTTCTCTCACACAAAAAGGATCAGAGAGCAACTCACCGTTCCAGCTAAAAGCAACACTAACATAATGGCCTGGAACTGAGCTCCCATTTTCGTTCCCACCTTAATCTTCCTTCCAGATGAACTGCCCTGGAAAGAAGCTCCCTCAGAAGGCCTCCGCGGATGCTCCAGGAGTCACTTGATTAATGCAATCTCACCACTCCCACGCAAAGCACTCCGTGACAGGTCCACAAGAACTTTGCTAACCCAAGTCTCCTCCAAACGTAGCCTGGTCACACTCAGTGAGAAAGTACTGCCGATCTTCTCACACCCCAATCTTTTCCCCAGCTCTCAAGGCTTTGCTGTCACCTTTCCCTCTGCGCGGATGTGGCCCCACTCCCTGGGCGGGGCAGATCCCTCAAGGTCTTTTACCATTTCCCCAACCACAGGTCAGCTTTCACCTCCTTGGAATCCCGCAGCTCTCAGCTCAGGGCTCCCCTCGCCCCAGCGCGTGTAACTAGCGATGGTCGCGAAAGCGCCTCAGTCCTTTGGCCAGACTCCCTGCATCAAAGACCATGCCCTGCGGACTCTACTACCACTGGCTGCACAGAGCGGGCCTAGTAAGTAACCCGTTGCCTGGTGAAGGCTGACACTAGAGGAACGCCGACGGTGAGCAGACGGGGACACCTCGGAACGCTGCGATCCTGAAAAGTGGGATTCACGACCTACGAACTCTGTGGAACGAATGCCCATCTGACCCAGGCAACCAGAGGCAACGGGGGTGCCCATCCCTCAGGGAACATGCCCTGGCGGACAGGGCAGGAGCCAGGACCGCAGCGGCCCTAAATCCGAGCCTAGGGGCTCTCGCCCGTCACCTGTGGGGGCCAGGCCGAGCCGCGCCTCCATGTCCCTGTCAAGGACAACTACAAACGGATCTCGTTTCACAGGCTGAAACCTACCTCACGAGGAAAACGTAATCGTCGTGGGGGACGCGCGGCCCAGAAAAGGGACGAGCCCTCTGGGGGCCGCCGATCGTGACCGGGACGGACGCCCCGGGAAGCCCGAGGGCCCCGCGCGCGCAGGGGTGGCCACCCTCGCCCGACGGGACCGCGGGGCACCGGGCGACGCCGGGTGCGCAGCGCCTCCCGGAGCGGGGACGCGAGGCGGCGACAGCCGCTCGCCGAGCCGTGCGAAGGCCCCTCTAGGCCGCGGCGGGCCGGGACACTCGGTAGCATTAACTCTTTCCCGCCACCAGGACTGTACCGGGCGGACGGCCGCTTCCTTGCGCGAGGCCGGAGGCTGCGGCGCGGCTGCTCGGAGCCCCTCCCCCGGAAGCGCGTCACGCCGCTTCCGGCCGGAGCGCGGTGTCGGATGGGCCCCAGGCGGCGACAGGGGGCCTGAGGGCCTGTGCTGAGTCCCGGCCTGTGCCTCGCGGGGGCCCGCCTCTGAGCGGCGCGGGGCGCAGGGCGGGGACCTGCAGGTGAGCCCGTGGCAGGGGCAGCGTCTGGACCGGAGCTCCCGAGGGACACGGGCCGCTGCGCGCCGGGCGGGGGCGAGACAGCCATTGTCTGAGGGCGGCGGGAGCCTGACGGCGGGCCCGTCTCGGGGAGTTCCGCCGTCCGGCTCTAAAGGCCACCTCACCTATGCGAAGTCGGCGCCGGCGACCAACGCGGTCCCGGCGGTCGCGGGCTCTCCAGCCCGGCGTCTAGAAGCGGGGCGGGCGCACAGCCGGCTTTCCCGCCTTGCTGGCCGGTGTTACCGGGCGCCGGGGACCCGGGCGGTGCAGCTTCGGAGACGGCGACTTCGGGTGCCGAGCTTGGAAGCGTCCCCGTGCCTGCCGAGCACGCTGGGCAGCCGGGAGCCGGCCACTGGGGAGTACCGTGGCATCCGGGGCGGGTTTGGGTGCCGTTCCCGGGGCATCGCTCAGGGAAAGCAGGCTCCCGAGACTCTCCTCAGCCTGGCCAGGAAGCCCAAATGACCGTGGCAGAAAGGGCAGGTGGGCCGAAGGGTCACCCTCATCACCACCAGCTCCCCTCCTCTCCTCTTTTGCTACTAGGTCTCTAGATAAATATCTGTAAGCAAAGGTCAGCTGTTATTATTGTTCTGGGCCAAGTAGGGAGAGATTTAAAAATCCAGGAATGAATCGAGTGCCCGGTGCCCTTTTACAGTTCTTGCCAAAGGAGAGTGTGGAGCATCTGGTTACTTAATTGGGCGATGCTAAGGCTACGTCTCCCTAATGACTTTTCTTCTCTGGTGTCACTTCTCTGTCCCAGGTGTGCTGCCAGTAGTCATAAGGTGGAATTGAGAGTCTGGAATGTCCCACGCACTGTGGGCTTTCGTCTTCACCAGAGGATGAAGGGTCAGAGAGGTTGAGGTTGTACCCCCTTACTGTAGGCAGAAGATTGGGATGACAGGTTAAGATTGAAGAGGAACTCAGAACGTTCTCCTGATGGTCCCTTGGCATGGGGAAGGTGGAGTCGGAAGCACAACAGTGAACTCTTTGGATAAGCTGCTTGCAGCCAGAGGGTGTAAATGTTCTCAGTGTCCAACCTCTCCTGAAAATTGTTACCATTTTTAGGAAGGCCAAGTCCTCAGTGGGTCTTTGTCTCTCATGGAGCTGTGCCTTATTTCAGTTGAATAATGCAAGAAGAGAGAAAAGTTCTAGCAGTAGGTTTTTACTTTTTTTAATGTTTATTTTTGAGAGAGAGAGAGAGACATAGACAGAGCATGAGCAGGGGAGGGGCTGAGAGAGAGGGAGACCCAGAATTGGAAGCAGGCTCTAGGCTCTAAGCTGTCAGCACAGAGCCCTACGATGGGGGAGCGGAGTGGGGGGGGCTGAACCTGGGAACCTTGAGATCACAGTCTGAGCCAAAGATGGAGTCTTACCCATATTGAGCGACCCAGGTGCCCCTGGCAGTGGATTTTTTAAGGGGAAGCAAGGCAGGATTCTTTTGTTTGTGTCTGGTTATGAATAGGAGATAGTAAAGCTCATGTGACTTTCTTACTGACGTGCACGTTTTTTCTGCTCTCAGTTTTAGGACGAAGATTGTTTTATTGATTTTGTTCCAGAGCTGACTGGGCCTCGTTTGCCAAAGGCACTGCTGGCAGGGTGTCCAACACAGGAGTAAAGCTGTTCCTGCAGCAGAGTAATGATGGTAGATCTGAAGGTGGCTGACTCTTTGAGCCCTCAGATCAGGGCTCTGTGGGAGTGCAAGGGACCTTTGATAGAGAGTTCCAGTCACAGTAAGAAATATACCCCACAAACGGACAGTCTCACTCCAGAAAGCTGTCGCGAGCACTTCCGGAACTTCCACTATACTGATGCCGCTGGACCTCGTGAAGTTGTTAGCCAGCTTCAAGAATTATGCCGTCAGTGGCTGAGGCCAGAGATTCATTCAAAAGAGCAGATCTTGGAACTGCTTGTGCTAGAACAGTTTGTGACCATTCTGCCCAGGGACACCCAGAGACGGATAAGGAAGGACCATCTACAGAGCATTGAGGAGGCCGTGACCCTGGTAGAACACTTGGAGAGGGGATCTGGTGAAACGAGGAACAGGGTGAGAAGAAAGATTCTTGATACCCGTAGTGAAATAAGATAAAGGTGGATATGGGTGGGGGCAGTTCATTGAGAAAAAGGTGAATTAGGTCACTGTTCTCTTTTCCTTTAGAACATCTGAGGCGGGGCCTGAAACCTCAGACCCATAGCAGTAGTCTCGGGTTTCACAGATACTTCCCTGAGAAAGATCGCTTTTGTGATCTATAGAGCCAGGGTGAATGGAGAGTAATAAGCCTAGACTGGCTTGCCCAAGGACATGGATTTTGAGTTACAAATGAATAAAAGAAAATAAGGAGTTGGAGAGGAAGGGGAGGACCCAGAACAGAGAGAACACTACGAAACAAAAAAAAATTGAGTGGAGATAGTAAAGAGAAGGAAAACGCAAACAATGGAAGGAGAGTGCAGAGGGAGAGAGGAGTAGGCAGAAAAAGGGGAAACAAATTTGGAAATCCTAGCAGAGTAGCTGAGAGAAGAAAGACACTGAAGGATTCAGGTGGGAAAGCCTCCATGGTGCCCTCAGGAGTTGGTTCTTGGCTCTGCTGGTTCATGGGAATCCAGGATATGCTCTTAGCCAGGTGGCAGAACACCACATGGCCTCAGGCCAACTGAGAAGAAGACAGGCAGGCATGTGTTGGGTGCCAGAAATCATCTGGAGGTGGGTTGGAGCCAGACCATCTTCCCCTCTTTTCTCCCATTTCATCCGTCATTCTCTGAAAGCCTTCCCTGGCCATGGGGATAATCTGGTTGATAAGACAGCTTTCTTTATTCTTTAGTCTTTCGAGAAAATGAGAAGACAGAAAAACACTAAAGCAGGGATCCAAGTCAAGAGAGGTCTGTCAGAGTAGCATGAACACAGGTGGGCTCTGTAGCCCTGTTAGTGCTCTTGAGTGGTGCTGTATTTAGACAGATGGGGCCTGCTGTATTGGAGGGCTAGCAGGAGCTGCATTTCTTTTCCTTTTATCCTAATATTTCTACATTTTATGGAGGGCTCATTTTGGAATATTGGTCACCCTGATATTTCTTTAAGTCTTTTTGTCATTTCCTTTAGTGTTGCATGTTTTCCACTATCTGGACTGTTCAGCTTTTTCCTCCTTCTACAGTCAACCCCAAAACCAAAAATAACTTCCGTGGTAACAAAGGTGGGGATTATTTCTAGGTTGCAGTCCAAGAGCTGGGAAAAGAGCCAATGCTCTTAAGAGAAACAGCAGAGTCCCAGCCAGTGGGCATGGCCCAGGATGAAGAATTCTGGAATGCATACCAAGGTTTGCAAGAACAGCTGAGCAGAAGTACTCATAAAGAAACTGAGCCTGTATGTGAGAGGGGTAAGGCACATCATGATAATTCCCTTCTCTTGAGAGCTATGATAAGAATTTATTCAACCAGAACATTGTGAGCATTTTCTGGGTGCCCAGCTATGTGGATGGGTGGACTCAGCCACATGGCAATTATGATGTCCCCTAGATGGCAGTAGAGCGCCAGCTGTGGGTGAATTTGTGAGTTGGCCTAGGATATAGAAATCTCCAAAGTACAGAAAGAACCCTGGTAATTACACCAAATACTGTTTTTTATTTATTTATTTATTTATTTTATTTTTTTTTAATTTTTTTTATTTCTAGGAGAGAGAGAGAGACAGCGTGAGCAGGGGAGGGTCAGAGAGAGAGGGAGACGCAGACTCCGAAACAGGCTCCAGGCTCTGAGCTGGCAGTCAGCACAGAGCCTGACGCGGGGCTTGAACCCACGAACCGCGAGATCATGACCTAAGCGAAAGTCGGACGCTTAACCGACTAAGCCACCCAGGCGCCCCCCAAATACTGTTTTTTAGAAAGCAGTAGTAGAATATGAACACACTTTTGTACCAGGGAAAAAATAAATGATAAATAGATCTATTGTAAACTGGATATATTGAGTATTTCGGTTTCAAATATGTTTAACTTTTGCCTAACTTGACAACAATTTACACCATAAGAGGGGGAAAAAAGGGGTTTTTTCCCTCTCATTTATTCATTCACAAAACTGAGGAACGTATTCTAGCGGCTGGTAGATACTTGGCTCTTGTATATGATGATGAGGCCACTTCATGGCACCAAATCCACTTGCAAGGGTGTCCTGTCTCTGCTGAAAGAATCAGAATCATCTGTATTTAGAAATGAGTTGAGAATCCTTATAGACCGAAGCAAGAGAAACTTCCCCTGATTCTTTTCCACCCACAGCTGTGCCTGTTCACCAGATCTTAGCCTTTTCTGAGAAGACAAACACCAAAGACTGGACAGTGGCACCCGAGCTCGTCTTGCCTGAGTCCCAGGTGAGCTGTGCAGCCCAGCCACTGAGGGCTGCCTTTCCCTGCTGCCCATGACCCACACTGCCCAGCTCACGGGCGTGCTAGTTGCAGTGTTCTCCCTGTGAAAATGAGTACCTCCCAGTCTGTTGCTGATCTGTTGCCCTTTTTCTTTTCGCCCTCTCACTTTAAAAAATATCAGGTGCTATTAATTTGCTGAGTGCCCAGGGTCTACCATGGACCAGATGGTAGGGCTGCTTTTATAGTGGCAAGTACTGAGCTGAAGCCCATTCTCTTCTTTAGAGCTTGTTGAGATTTGAAGAAGTGGCCATGTATTTTTCCCAGGAAGAATGGGAGTTACTGGATCCCACTCAGAAGGCCCTCTACAATGATGTAATGCGGGAAAACTATGAGACTGTCATCTCTCTAGGTAAAGAATCTCCCTTTCCCATTGGGTAGAAGTTGAGTAGTCTGTCACGTTCCTGGCTTACTAGGAATGTACTCCTGTGAGAGGCTGTGTTCCAGTAACTGGTTGTTTCTCAACTAGATGGTGTGAGCAGGGAAAGGCATATCCAGATGGTCTGGAGAGCCATTTCCAAATGCATATGCTCATTCCTTATCCTAAAATTCTTGATTCCTCCCTGCCCTCTCTCCTAATCTGCTTTTCTTTTGCCTTTCCCATCTCCATAAAGAGCAGGATTACTCTCATCCAGTACTTTAAGCCAGAAAATTTGTGATCATCCTTTACTGTGATCTTGTTTTCTTTGCGCACTACTACTGTGTCCGTGTCCTCATGGCTCCACACTTACAGTACAGCCTGAGTCTGTGTTTCATCCTCTTAAACTGTTAGTATCATAGTCTAATCCAGGGGAATGTATAACCAGGTTCACCTCAGTACGTTTTAACTGGCACCCTCTGCCACCACTCTTAACCTTCCACAATCTACTTTGCACGCAGCAGCCAAAGTTCTTTAAAAACTTGATCATATCACTGTATCACCCTGTTTAAAATGTTAAGATGGTTTCTCACACATTTAGAATAAAATCCAAGTTCTTTGCCAGGGTACCAGGAGCTTCCAAGATCTAGCACCCATTCATCTGCCACTCGTGCCCTTGCTCAGCCCTCTTTATCCACACTGATCTTGCTGTTTTGTGAACTCACCACGTTATTTTTTGCTATCCCATTTCCATTCCTTGGCACACTGAACTGAGTTTTGCAATTTTAAACTTCTGATTTTGGCCTAATTTTGAACAATCTATGACATAAAAAAAAAAAACAACCATTTCCTTTTATTGCTTTTGCTCATCAAACCAAAGACTGTCCATCAACTGGGAAACCTATTATAGAAGCTAGTAGATGTTCAGTTCTTGTTTACAATGAGAAGGCCACTCCTAGGTAACTTGCAACAGTTTTAAAAGTATTCCATCTCTGCTGAAAGATTCAGGATTGTCTGTCTTTTAGGAGTAAGCTAAGGATGTTCATAGTCAGTCGTGAGAGACATTTCTTCTGGCTCTTTTTCACCCACAGCTGTGCCTGCTCACCAGATCCTAGCCTTCCCTGAGCAGACAGTCACCAAACACTGGACAGTGGTACCTGAGCTCGTCTTGCCTGAGTCCCAGGTGAGCTGTGCAGCCCAGCCACTGAGGGCTGCCTTTCCCTGCTGCCCATGGCCCACACTGCCCTGCAGGGGCTCCCAGGTGCCAGTGTTCTTCCTGGGCACCAGGCTCCTCCTACTCTTGCTGATCCTTTTGCCTCTTTCCTTCCGTTTGACTTAAAAAAAACTATATATATATATATATATACACACATATATGAATGATGCTGTTTCGTTCATTGCTTGGCTTAACATGTAGTTCATGGGCTGGATGGAAGGGATGCTTCTCTAGTGGCAAGTATTGAGCTGAAGCACATTGTCTTCTTTAGAGCTTGTTGAGATTTGAAGAAGTGGCCATGTATTTTTCCCAGGAAGAATGGGAGTTACTGGACCCCACTCAGGAGGCCCTCTACAATGATGTAATGCGGGAAAACTATGAGACTGTCATCTCTCTAGGTAAAGAATCTCCCTTTCCCTTTGGGTAGAAGTTGGAGTAGTCTGTCATGTTTTCTGCTTACTGGGAATGTTCTCCTGTGAGAGTCTGTTCTAGCAACTGGTTATTTCTCAACTAGATGGTGTATGGGCAGAGGAAAGGTGTATCCAGATCACCTGGGGAGCTTTGTCTAGGTGTTCACTCCATATGCTTTCTAGATTTCTTGATTGGTTTTTTTCTTTTCCCCCCAAATCTGTCCTTGTCATATTTTTCTCATCTTAGTAAAGAGCATTACCTAGTTCCTCAGAGGTAGAAACATAAAGTCATCCTTTACTGTGATCTTGGCACCATACCCCCATTTTATCACATCTCTGTCTGGGGCCTCCACCCTCACAGTGTAGCCTGAGTACAACCGTGTCTCATTCCCTTGTGCTCTTAGCATCCTGGTGTAAGCCAGGAGCACGTGTAACCAGACTGACCTTGGTACTTTCTGACTGGTGCCCCAGCAGCCACCATTCTTGCCCTCCCACACTGTGTTTTCCACACAGCAGCCAGTCTTTTAAAAACAAATCATGATATTTTCCATTTCAACACCTTATAACGTCTTCTCATCATGTTCAGAATAAAATCCAGATCTTACTGAAGTGCTTATTAGGATCCTGCAGGATCTGGCCCTACCACCTCCCTGCCCTCAGTCTCCTGCCCAGTGTGCTTTTGATCAGACCTCTTGATCCTCACTGATCTTTTTGTTTTTTGAACTTGCCATGCACATTTCTACTTTCCTCTTTCCCATCTGTCACATTTCCTGCCACATACTAAATCTCTCCCTTTTGCATTTCTGCTCCAATACCACTTTCTCAAAGAAGCCGTCCATCCAGCCTCATCTAAAATAGCTTCAGAGAAGCAGAATCTTTTTTTTTTTTTTTTTTTTTTAATGAAGTCTATTTATTTTGAGAGAAAGCACACAAGCACTAGTAGGGGAGGGGCAGAGAGAAAGGGAATCCCAAGCAGGCTCCACTCTGGAATTGTAGAGCCTGATGCAGGGCTTGATTTCACAAACTGAGATCATGACCTGAGCCAAAATCTCGAGTGTGATGCTTAACCAACTGAGCCACCCAGGTGCTCAGAGATTCTGCTTACCCAGAGAAGCAGAATCTTAAATGCTGAGTTATTCTGCTTTAGTTTTCTTCAAAACGTTTATTATGTGCTGACAACTTTATTGCTATTTCCTGTCTCATTGTCCCGCTAGAACGTAAGTTGCATGAGGTTGAGGTCCTTTGACTTACTCACCATTATATCATTAGCCCAAGGCAAGTACCTGGCACATTATAGCCAGTCAGTACATGTTGACTGAATGACTAAGTGGTGAATGCTTCCCAGTTTAGCGGTGTATAATTAGAAAAGTTTCACTAAGGGATTCTGGTCTGTTTCTTCCACCTGGACAAGAACCAGTGAACTATAAGAGTGGGGAAAATCTTCCCTATTCCCGTGTGTGGTGCTCAAGAGCTAAGTAAACAGTATTACCATGACAGAAATCCCTGGTGCATGTGATATGCATCCCACTGACCTTCACCTTGCTCTGTCAGACTTGGGCCAATCCTAAGGAATTAATAGGACTAATCTGTATTCCCTGCAAAATGGTTCCATTTTGTTTAATACGTGGTAATCTTGGTGGCAGAAGAGGGGCATTGTGGATGGATTCCCATGCCCTTTCGCCTTTCTGTGGATCCCACTTAGATATATTTCTCAGTGTTCACTTTGTGTATCCACCCACAGATGGAGAATCGTGTTAACCTGATACCAGATATGAGAGTCTATCCATTGACCATTTGGTTAAAGCACTGTACAGTGCTCTTTACTCTTCCTGAAATAGTATGGAGTTGGTGGACCATTGTCAAGTTGCCAGTCCTTGATCTCATTTTTTCCATTTCACAGCTTTATTTGTGCTCCCCAAACCTAGAGTGATCTCCTATCTAGAGCAAGGGGAAGAGCCATGGGTTCCAGGGTCCACGGAGTTCAAAGACAGTCCTGGAGAGCTGCCTACAGGTAAATATACTATGTGAAGAGGAAAAATGTGCCTTAAAAGCAACCTTTGCAGGGGCTTAACATTTAAAATTCTGTTTATCTGCATTTTGTAAGTCAATAATCATTGGATTTTTCTCTCTGTTCCTATAGTTATTTTGCTCTGCCATACAGTGGGCTGACTCTTTTGTTTATTCTGACAGGAATAAAGCACAAAAGTGACACCGAAAACCATCAGCCTATATGTCTTTCTGATTTAGAAATACAAGCACCAGGAGACATAGTATCAAAAAAGGGCCGAACAAAAGTTCCCCCGAAAACAACAGGCAAAGAAAACCATAGTGATACACACAGGATGGGGAAGTGGCATCGAGATTTTCCTGTGAAGAAAAGAAAGAAACTTTCAAGCTGGAAACAAGAATTGCTGAAACTTATGGATCTTCACAAGAAAGCTCGTGCCGGAGAAAAGCCTTTTAAATGCCAAGAATGTGGGAAAAGCTTCAGAGTTAGCTCTGACCTTATTAAGCACCAAAGAATTCACACTGAAGAGAAACCATATAAATGTCAACAGTGTGATAAGAGGTTTAGATGGAGTTCGGATCTTAATAAGCACTTAACAACACATCAAGGAATAAAACCATACAAATGCTCCTGGTGTGGGAAAAGCTTCAGTCAAAATACAAATCTACACACACACCAAAGAACTCACACTGGAGAGAAGCCCTTTACGTGTCATGAATGTGGAAAAAAATTCAGTCAGAATTCCCACCTTATTAAACACCGGAGAACCCACACAGGTGAGCAGCCATATACTTGCAGCATATGCAGGAGGAACTTCAGCAGGCGGTCAAGCCTCCTTAGACACCAGAAACTCCACCGCTGACCGGGAGTTCATCTTGTGTCCTTGGCATGAAGAAGTTCACCAAATAGAGGTTGACCCTGACATTTATGAAAAAATACAAAAATATGAAGCATGAATTCATCAGTGGAAAAATTGATGATAAAAGTGTATTTCACGGAAAGGAATTAAGGTTGACCCTGCAGGGATCTCCGTAAGTAGTTTTGTACTACTTACATTTTTACACATAACCTTTGGGGAATTCCTTAGTAAGAAAGGTATTGAAAAAACATTCTCGATTAGGGAAACATTTTGCAATTGTATCTGATAAAGTAGCAAATCCAGCTTCAATTAAGAGATGCACCCGTGACTCAGTCTTTTGTGATCACAGAGGATAAATTCTACTGATTTTGCAATGAATTCCCAGCCACTTTTAAACACATAATAGGAACATTTGTATCATGGTCTTCCAAAAGATAAAGCAATAACCTGTTTGTTTAATTGCATTCCATTGCCTTCAAGGTACTTGGCTTACCAATTTTAAGAGTCATGTGTGGGGCAGAAGTGAGTTCTGTTGTCAAGTTTTCCAAGAACCAAATTGGATTTCTTCCTTTTCATTGTCATTGGACACTCTTCACAAAGTTGGACATCATGTGAGTTCCTTCTTGAACGTTTTAGCAACTTTAGCTCTTGAATCCTTTTAGCGCCAATTTTACTGTGATGAAATGCTTTTTACTTCACCACTAGCAAATCTGTAAGATAAATTAATAATGCACTATCTTATACTTCAGTGGTGGTGTTTAAAAACAAAAGATAAACATCTCTAATGAGATCATATGAAAACGGGTTGGAATGTTTAGCCATGAATTATGTATGACATGTAAAGAAGAATTTTCTGCAATAAAAGGAACTAGTCCTTTTCTTATAATATCAGTATGATGAAACATAAAAGTTAGCACTTTCCTGAGGCCTAAAGAAAGTTAATGGAAGTTCAGGTGTTTTTAATTTGCTTTGTAATTTGGCTTTTGTTTTTAAGAACAAACTAGAACTAGGTTGTGTGCTGCAGGTAGGATGTGGTTCACTGGGTATTGCAGAATATTGGGTTCCCAAGAGAAGTTTGGGAACTGATGCTGACTGGTGGGTAAGGATGGGTGAATGCACATCCTTGTGGATTGTCTTACACTGTAAACTGTTATTAAGTAGGCAGGGTGTTCATGTCTCTGTTTTGTACCCAGCATTTAACATCAGCCTTGGGTGAAAAATGATAGATGGCTGAAAATCTCTATAGACTATGGATCTTCTTAGAGCTCTTATCTACAGCAATGACTCAGACGTATTTTTGTTAGAGCTTTTAGGTAGTGTCAGTAAAGAGGTTAAATGATTTCTTCTGAATACCTTATAAATAAAGAAGTTAAGGTTCAGATACAGGGACCTGTATAGGACCCTATAACTATTGGGTCTGTTGGCTGTCACTCAGCTGCATCAGTCAGGCCTGAAGTTAGGATTAGCAGGATGGATGTGTATGTTATCCCTGCAGGGCCAGGCTGGATAACGTTGTGTTGTGTCTATTTCTAGCTTCTACAACATTCCTGTGGCTTGACTGGTTACTGAAATGCTTAAGTCTCCATGTTCTCTGTGAAAGAGAAAACTGTATTTCAACTCAGGGTTATTCTAGGGGTTAGAGGGACTGGTGAAGGAAGAGCACTGCACAGCCTGTCCAGTGCTCACCATGCATTTCTTTTCCTTTCCCCTGCTCCCCAGTGATGTGCTGGGCAGACTGACCACACTTAGAAAGCAGATGCATTTATGGGTATTGGCAGCTCCTTTCAGGAGTTGAGCACTGCTAGTGGTGATAATGCTCGGCTGATTTGGCTTCAGTGCTCTATGGTGTAAGTCACCTGACTTGTTGATCTGGTGTCCTCAGCAAGACTTTATTTTCTTTCCCAAGCTGAACTGTACCAAATATGATTTTTTAAGCACAGCCAGCTCTGAAGTTCCCATCTGCATATCTATTACCCAACGCCCTCATCGTTCAACTACTAGTACTCTGTCTTATCCCAGGACACATGTGGATGTCTTCCTGGAGCTACATTCATTCAATTTGATGGGAGCCTTTTGTGGGCCTAGGCACTGTTCTAGACTGAGAATGTAGTAGCGAACAAAAGACCTAGAAATCCATTCTCATGGGAGTCGTATTCTAAATGAAGAGTATAAAGGAGAGCGGTTATGGTTTTCTGCTCCTTGCAGTTAGGGTTGTGAGGTAGTTTTAGGTGATGGGTTGTGAGCAGAAGCCTCGCTTCTGGGCTGAAGCCTTTAATTGTTGGTGCAAGACTCAGTAGTGCTGTTCTCCCTCAATCATGGAAGCCCACACAGACAGGGTCCACAAGGTCAAAGTAGTCTGGAATGCTGAGTGCCCTACTCCCCACCCCCTTGGCAAGGAGCTGTTCTGGAGGGTCCCCCAGACCTGTGATGGACTTTATGGGAATGAGAAATAAATTTTTGTTAAACCACTGAGGTGCTGGTGTCGTGTGTTTCTGCAGTATCCCCTGGCCTGTATAAATAGAGGCAGCTATTCTACTAGAGTTCTGGAACCTTTTCTGTCTCATTCCATGTGGACTTTAGCCCTCAGAAGAAATCTGCCTTCATCTAGATATTCCACTGAGCCAATGTAACACTGATAGGCACACTGAGGAGCTTGCATGACTAGCTGATAGGAAAGAAGGACTGATTTCTTACTAGACAATACAGGTTGGTCATTTTTTCCTTTTTAAAAATTTTTTTTAATGTTTACTTATTTTTGAGAGAGAAAGACACAGAGGGCAAGCAGGGGAGGGGCAGAAAGTGGGAGACACAGAATCTGAATCAGGCTCCAGACTCTGAGCTGTCAGCACAGAGCCTGATACAGGGCTTGAACCCACAAACCACGAGATCGTGACCTGAGCCGAAGTCGCACGCTCAACTGACTGAGCCACCCAGGCACACCTACAGTGGTCATTTTTTTCAAGTGGACAAGGCAACCATCTCTTCATGCCTGTCTGGTTTCATTCCCCTGTCCTTACTCTCTGTTCCCCTGTGCTCCAATGTTTATGTGCATAAGATGTGTTTCTATCAAGCCATGGGCTACAGAGAGGGGAGGGGTTGCCTTTCATTCCTCATGTGAGTACAGTAGACAGTAAGGAATCGTTTGGTAACTACCCCTTACATATCTTATATGAGTTTTGTCTTAAAAAACACATAACGTAGGGCAGACGCAATTTTGCCCTGACTGTTGTAGAGAAGAAGGTGGCTGCCCTCTTTGACTAAGGTGATATTTGGGAAGAACGTTGTGCACGAAAGCAGAAATAGGACATTCCATTTGAGGAGTGAGAAGCCTCTGTAGGGAATTTCTTCTTAGCCAATTACCAGCAGTACACTGTTCCACAAGTCATTATGCTTAGAATGTTGGATGGCCATGTGGACATTGGAAGAAAGAATTTCTGTTGCCTATTCACAGGGTCGAGAGCCAATTACCAAAAATGCAACAGAAGATCAAATTTTAGGTTAGGTTAAGACGAAGTGGAACACACAACCTTAAATTTATCCTCAAATGTTGGTATTAAAGTTCTCAGAAATATGTCCTTCATAAGCAAGTAATTAGGACAGGCCAGACGTTGCTGTCCTTCAGTTGTTTCAGGTCACAGCCTTAGAATGTTTCCTCACTTGGCTCTGAGAACTGGATCATTGACCAGTGTAACCCTTAAATCCTCAGCTCTTTCTCTGCTGTGGTCTAAGTGGCCGCAGTGTGAGGACTGTGGCAGACCCAGTATTCTCCCCGCCATTTAGCAGACTCCATCTGGAACCTCAAGGTGATCTTGAGAACCTCCACTGTCTTCGCTGGAGGGGAAGGACAGGAGAGCTTGGAATTGAACTAAGGTGCTAGGTTTGTTCAGCTTTTAAAGGAGCCATGAGAAGAGTGTTTAATTCCCCCTGGAGAGCATGAAAGCAGGAATGTTAGGCAGCCCTTTCTGTCCCACTGGACAGTTGAAATAACACGGGTGGTTTGAGTTCCATAAAGACCTTTCCAACCGCACAGACAAGTGTTGACTGACCACCTTTTGCATTTCCTGGCCAGTTGTACTCTCGTGTAATGGCTCAAGGCTGCCTACTGCTTTGCTCTCTGGGTTCTACCCCCTGGTGTGTAGAGTGGATTATTGCTGAAGGGCTTCACATTTTTTCAGAGACCCTCATCTGAATGGGGTCTCTGGACTGCCCTCAAGTAGGAAAGGTTGAATGTTTTGTTCACACTTTGTGTTTCTAGGGTTTGTTCCCAAAACATATTTGGACAAAAGCATGTTGTCATTACTAAATCTTTTCCACACTTGTCACCTTTATCATTTCTTTCTCGTGTGGTTCTCTGGGAGCACGGCTGGAGTACTGTTGAAGCATCTGCCAGTGTCACTTATGTGCAGCCATTCCTTTGTGTATGAATTCCCCAGTGGGCAGAGATCGGGCTATCGTGAAGTGGCTTCTGCAGTCCAGCATCTGTGAGGCTCTCCTGTGTGACTCACCCACATCTGAGAACACCTGCACTTTTCTTTAAAGCGGTCTTCCATCTATCTCTCATGAGAGGCATTGAGCAACTCTGAGTTTAAGGTTTAGGAGAACTGTCAGAATCACTTCTTAGTTCTACCACAGTGGTAGAATGATAACTGTGGAGTTGCACTGATCTGGACACTAACACAAAATATTAAGCTTCACAGTATTTGGATACCTTTTACCTTTAAGGGAAACTTAGTAAGAAAGCTTAAAGTAATGGGTGGATTTCCAACATTATAATTTTCACACTAAGCATTTGTCCATGATATGTACGAACAACTGAACAGTGTCAAGGCATTTGAAGAAAAACAAAAAGTGAACATAATATTTTCATAAAACTAAAATATGTTTAATTTTAGAAAACTTTCTTTAATAATGTTAGTAGCTTTAGGAATAATAATTTATAGGGATAAATTCAGAAAAAATATTTAAATATTCTTTCTTCATTTATGTACGGAGGAGTATTAGCATCATAGCTCTACATCCTCCTTAAAGGAAAAGTTATATTTCCAATATTATTCTTTCAGTTAAATGTTGTTCATTTTCATTTTTACAATCTCCTCATAGTTCTAGTTCTAAGATTCAGGGATAAAATTCCTGTTCACATGAACAAATAACAGTCTTTCTGATTGGAGAGAATTTGATTTTATTTTTCTCCGATTTCATCCTTCTACACAAAGCTTGTTTTGTGCTTCTTGCCTATTATGCCTGCCTCTGTGTTATTCTACACCAAAACCCCTATTTCCCATTCTGAGCAAGTCATCAAGAAAGATTAACTTAGAACTTCCATGCTTGGGGCACCTGAGTGGCTCAGTCGGTTAAGTGTCTGACTTCAGCTCAGGTCATGATCTCACGGTTTGTGGGTTCGAGCCCTGCATCGGGCTCCGTGCTGACAGCTAGCTCAGGGCCTGGAGCCTGCTTCAGATTCTGTGTCTCCTTCTCTCTCTGACCCTCCCCTGCTCATGCTCTTTCTCTCTCAGACATTAAAAAAAAAAAAAAGAACTTCCATGCTGGATAGGCACAAACTGAGCTCTCAAGTATATCATTGGTCAACTGTCTTCCAAATAAACACTTAAAACTCATCTAAAAACGTCTTTATCAACATCAGAAATTTAGGATTATGCTTTTTTTAAAATTTAATTTAATTTAACTTTATTGCTCAGGCTAATAATAAAACAAGTTCGAATACTGAGAACACACAGTCACAAATGAGTGCTGGCAGCTCAGGAGCAATCTCCATGACAGGAGGCAGCAACCCCAACTGCCATTGCTGTAGCTAATCCACAAGTGATCAGTAGGGAACTGTTGTGAAAGTAGGAGAGGAATCAGCAGGGAATGGGTGATGGTGGGAAATTACAACTCCTGTGATTCTCTTTAAGAAGCTAGTCTTGGCTACTTTCCTCTGTATTCTGAATATTCAGGAGAGATGAGAAAAAGCTGACTGATTACACTGGGGCACGAGAGCATCACAGGGATCACCTGTGAAATCAGAAAACCACATGTTCATGTTTGAGTCTCAGTGGTGAATCATTTTGTTGGTGAAACAGTCAAATATTGGGAAAGAAGCAATTAAAGTAAGGCAAGATCTTTGCCATAAAGGGCTTTGGAGTTCTACTTCTGAAGTTCAAGAAGAAAAAGTATCTTTGGCGTCTCACTCAGTTGGAAATTCAAAAAATGAAAAAGAGAACAAGATCTGTGGGAGGTTCAGCAACCTATAGGTAAAAGAAATAATGTATAGCATATGAATACGATAGTCTGTTTAGTGGATTTAAGTAAAGTTAAGGGTATATCGCATGGAGCTTTTCATAGGGCCTATCTAGAACATACTGTACCTCTTAAGGTAGTGAAGTCTGTATGAATACGTGAATCAAAGGACCAAAGTTTGGGGTGACTGGGTGGCTCAGTCAAAGCATCCAACTCCTGATTTCAGCTCAGGTCATGATTTCCCAGTTGGTGAGATCAAGTCTCCTCTTGGGCTTTGTGCTGACAGCTCAGAGACTGCTTGGTATTCTCTCTTCTTCTTGCCCCTCCCCTATTCATGGACATGTGCACAGTCTCTCAAAATAAATAATCATTAAAAAAAAAAAAAAAGACCAAATTTTGAACCTACCAAATGCAGGGAGTCCATTATTTTCCTGTGTTCATAGCCCTGAGGTTCAGTTCCATTGCCGTGGTTAGGAGATGTTGAAATAAAGGAGTTGGTGAGAAATAGGAATTGACAAGTGAATTTGGTTTGGTGAGCTTCTCCTCTAGAATGTGGGCTCTAAATTAAGGACTAATGTGGAGGCTCCATTAATCATTTGGTGAAAAGGTCTGTTCATTTGACTATAACACCACTGGCTAACTTTACTCAGAACTTACCATGTGTTAGATAATGATCTAATCTCTTTACCAGAATCAACTCATTGACTCCTCACAACCTATACTTGCCCCCAGTATAAGATGAGGACATTGGAGCACAAGAGAAAACTTGGTAGAGATGACACAGTGGAGGGGTGGATGGAATCAAACCCACATAATCTTGACTACAAACGCTGTACTTTTTAAAACATTTGTTTGAAACAATCAAGAAGTTACAGAAAAGTTGAAAGCATGATACAAAGGACTTTTGCTTCTGAATCACCTGAGAATACACTGACAAGTTGGTATTCTGTCCTCCCCAAATACCTTAGTGTGTATCTCCAAGAAACAGAAACATCCTCCTATGGGACCACAAAAGAGCCATCAGAATTACTAAATGAGCATTAACACATGACATCTAATCCTTAAGCTCCATTCAGCTTTTGCCAGTTGGCCCAGTAAGGTCTTTCATAGCAAGAAGATTTTTGTTAACATTTATATCTGCATTTAGTTGTCATGTCTCTTATTTTTTTCATCTCTTTTTTAAAAAATATTTTATTTGTAAGTGTCTCTACACCCAACATGGGGCTTGAACTCAA